TCGGTATCTATAGGTTTTTCTGGATGCTGAATCCGAATATGATGTTATTTTTGATTTAAAAAATTTTCCTGGGGCAGTTAGCAAATGTTCTTGGTACCAAAAGCGGTTATTTGACAATAACTTGAGAAATAATTTTCCTAGAATTTCCTCGCATCGATTTCAATTGTAAACGTAAAATCAGAACCGACGTCAAAATGATCATTCTAAATATCGATGATTGAAAACAACAGAAACAACAACTACGCGGTGACATTCGACGACCTATTTCTACATTTCAATGACACGAGAAATTTCTCTGTGGAACTTACTGCTTTCACCAGAAATTCTTCGACGGGTCGCGGTGCAATCTCGGCGCAAAACTCGTCTATTTTAACACGAAACGAAACACACGAAGCGGGCATTGTTTTTTTTTTCTCTCCTTTCGGATAGCCGGTTGCTTTATTGGAAAGCTAACGGCGTGGAACACGTTAACGCTTATCGCAAGGTCGATGCACTCGCGGCTAATGTCGCGGCTTACATTCGCGCCTCGGTAAAGAAAAATCGTCGGCAATACGATCGTTACGGTTCGCGTCTCTTTTATTGCGCGAGAGTGGCCCCTGGAAGTCTCGCGTTACGCGAAATAAAAATTTCGTTTGCCGCATGGAGACATTACCTTTCATTGTATGGGCCCGGTAATGCCGCGAAACCGATGTAACCGTTCGAAATTTATTCTCTTCGCCTTGACTGCGGATTTCGCGCGTTTATGGCTGCTCCGTTACGAGAGGAATATATATCATAAATCAACGTAATAATACACGAGTATTTTATTTCGCACGGGTGGGTATATTCTACGCGCGCGTCTCTCGTATTTCCATACGCCCGTAAACGTACAAAATCCGCCTGGCTATTTATGCTCCCTGCTACGTCCAGCTATTTTATTAGACGATAATTTTCTAATGCTTTTGCATCTCTCGAAACTGGTTCTGTTACTCGGAGTGTCTCGCAGGTGCCTCGCTCACCTTTTTCATAGTTCTTCTGGCCAAGGGAGAAATTGTGATTCACGTCCGGTGGATCGACATTGTCGAACAGGTCGGAGGACAGCTGTCTCTGCAAGCGGATCGTTTCATGCGTCAGCTCGCGAACTTGAATCAGCAGTTCCTGATAGTTCGATACCGGAAGCGTCATTGCTGTGCTCTGTGCCCTTCACCGCGCCCTTGGGGCCAGTTCTTACACGAACAGCCATCCGATTCGAATTCTGCAACAAAACGATATCTATTTGGGTTTGTCGCGATTAATAATTTTCAAGGATAAAAAATCATGGTACGTTGCGCGGCAACGACTCGTTTCGATCCCAAAGCCACTCAAACCCGTCTATGCGCGCGGTACTCCGCGGCTGAATAACTCTGAATCACGTGTCGTTGCAATCGCAAGACTTGGTCGCGCGTATGTGCGTGTACGCGCTCGAGTGTAGCACTCGTTCGTGCTTAAAAGAGCTTTTGTCGACGAGGAGGAAATCCAGCGATCCCTTCTCCTCTGACGGCACTTGCACGGCCACGTGAAAACCGCCAACGCGAACAGAGGGAACCCCAATGTTGCATTCCCGTCAACTGCTCTCGTTTCGCGGATTTCAGAGACGAGCGGAATTCTTATCCCCGCCGCGCGAGGAGATGTACGTTTTATCGTTTGAATTGCAA